AAGTGCCCTTTAAATAGTGTGCATCTCAGAAATATAGTTCTAATCATAGTTTTATTTCCGCTAAATGAAGTGGATATGGGGATTTCATGAAGCTCTTGTGAATGTGGTGCGTCTCCAACTCTAGTTTGCCATTGTCTGTGATGTACACCAAATTTGCGAGTTGGGTATCTCTAGTACACATGGTTTCACAGCTTTTGTTTAGGTCCATTTGCAGCAAGAATGCGTTACATCTCCTCCAGCTACTATTTTCTTTGATTGCCGTCAACTTATGGGAGTTCTTGTGACAGAATTCTCTTTTTCTTTGGTCACTACGGTGGTGCTTTGTCGCCTCTTCGTGGCGGGGCGACTCTGGGTGTCGAACTGCAAATTACAGCTGAGGTTTACCCTCCAGCAGGGTTTCCCAACTTGAGAGGGAGTTCGACGTTCCCGCCTTTCCGGATGCTCGGCTAAGAAGACCTTACTAGGAGCGCCACCTTGTGGCTGATCCAGTTGTTAGGTGCGATCCGCATAGGTAGCGATTACCTGTGGTGGTTAGTACGCCTCAGCATTACTAAGTCAGTCTTGTAGCCTGTACGGCTTTGATTAAAAGGAAGAGCCCTGCACACTGGATCCCATCTCCGACCTTGGATTTCATCAAAGCAGTGTTAGTTTGCACAGGACGCACGAATATCGGTTTGAAAAGATAGGTCAACGACTCGCCATGGCATTGTCTCATATTCCGTACCTACAATGCCAGGACTCATTGTCTCATGCTCCGTACCTACAATGCCAGGACTGTCTTCGCCAACGCAGACCCTCATGCGCTTTTCGAAGGTGCAGGGCGCATTAACTACCACGTGATGACCTTGCAGGAAACAAAGTCCAGGAAGACGAACGTGAGGCAGCTGAGCGATGGCACGCTCATCATTCGTGGTGAGGAAGTTCCATCACGGAACGTTGGAGGTGTTGGATCTGTCGCACACCTACCTGTTGTCCATCTTGTTGATTCGCATGAGATCCTATCATCTAGTCTGGCTATCCTTCGACTCCGTCCTCTTATCAAACACCATTACTATCAATAACTTATTCTTTAACATCAGCAGCTGGTGACTCGGAGTTGGATGTTTTAGGAAATGAAGGAAGTCATCGAGAAAGTCCTTCTACAAATGTTTCATGAGTAACTTCAATGCGAATATCGGGATGTCAGAGAAGGGGAAGCATAGGATCAGGAGATCCGGATCAAGGCAATGGAATGAGAATGGTAACCGTCTTGTTGAACTCTTATCTGCCGCACACTTTTTTTACTCCATCTTTATATAGAAAGAACACCAGCGGTGGACAAGGGTCACCCAACGGTACGATTCATGCGAAGATCGACAATCCTCAGCAAAAGTGGCGCTTACTGGACGTCTCAGTGTACCATCCTCCTGGTTTGGATTGCATTGTCTTTGGGCAATGCGAATCAGCCGAAAGCGAAAAAGAGGTCGGTCACCTTGTTACAGGAGGGAGAAAAGCGTATATGACGGCGTCAGACTTTAGGGGCTCTTGACTACTAGTGACTAGCCCGTTGGGGAGGACCCAACAAAGGACTACAATCTGCATTGCAGAAAACTGGTGATGAAAGCGCCTCTTCGTTCTACGTGAAGAGGAGTAGAGCTCTGAGGCTGAATCCGACTGCATCACTTTGCAAGGAGATGTTAAGGCATTCGAATTTGGAAGCAGCACAAGAAAGGAGAAGTGTAACGAAGTTTTGCCGGGTTTATCACAACTATTATGTTGCTGATCATTACTAAACAAAGACAGGACCTGCACGTCTTTCCGATGGGATGTAAACAGATCGCGAAGAGATTCTACACTAATCTCTTCTGCTCATTAGAGTCTGTGTCAGTACCCTCGTAGTACCCTACGGAACCTAGCTGCTGTAAGAAAGCCGCAATCCAGATCATGAAGGCAGTCACGATTGGACCAACGTTCCGGCCGACATCTTCCGAGCTGGAGAATATCCATAACACGAGATACGTGCGATACGTCAAGATTTTATCTCAAAAGAAAAGGTTTCCAATAGTGGCAATCCTCCCGAACAAACCTTCTTTATAAGAAAGGCGATAGGGAGGATCTTTGGAACTAGCGTCGAGTATGCTTGCTGCCCGTTACAGGCATTTTATGAAGGTTATTCTCACTTATATGTCGAGGACACTAGATGAGCATCCTATAGAACAGTAAACTTCGCAGGGTTAGCTGCGTGGATCAAATCCAGATTTCGAGGATTACTGAGGTTTGCCGGGAGTTGCCACCCTACTTCTCGTTCTAACCTTCGTCGACTATGAGAAAGCGTTTGAGACTCACGCCATATTGCCATGCTTAGATTAGAAGGTGGACCCGTTACATGAACTCATTGGCTGAGTGCCGCAAAAACTACTCCACAACGGCGCAGTTCCTCCATCGTCTCCTTAGAATACCGATTGCGAAGAGGCTTTTGAAGGCGACACGGTGCGTCAATGCTGTTCGACGCCAACTTCTAATGGGTAATGTCACTTGTTTGGAACGAGGGTTGTATATGAGTTGATGTTCGATACCTCGTGAACATTCGTTTTGCGGATGACATCATTCTCTTTTCGAGGAATGCTACTGAAACGGAGACGATGTTGAAATGAATGAAGTAGAGAAGAGGATAGGAATGCGAATCGGAGATATACTCAGTTTATGAGAAAGGCTTTTGTGAGGTTCAGGAAATGGAATTAGAAGGCTCTTCAGTTGCGAAGACATCTCTTTAAGTACTCGGGGGCTCGATGAACATGGAAAACGCTCTGGAAGAAGAATTGAAAAGGAGGCGAAGAACAGCTTAGGCTGCTTTTGGACCCTCAAAGTGAGTCACAGACCACCTGACGGATTTAGAGCTTATCTGTTCGATTCAACCTTCTCCCACCCTCTGCTACGCAATAGACACGTGGCATGTCACTCTTACTATGTTGAAGGCTCTCCGACGATCCACGGAGTGCCG